GTAAATTATGTTATGTAAACATACTTTAGCTTAGAACCTACATTAGTCAGAGTTCTCTAAGATCCAATAGGACATATACTCTACTGGTGGTGGTAATGGAGGTGGTGGTGATGGAGGTGGTGGTGGTCGTGGTGGTGGTGGTGGTGATGGTGGTGGTGATGGAGGTGGTTGTGGTGATGGTTGTGGTGGTGGTGATGGAGGTGGTGGTCGTGGTGGTGGTGGTGATGGAGGTGGTGGTGGTGATAGAGGTGGTGGTGGTGGTGATGGAGGTGGTGGTGGTGATGGAGGTGGTGGTCGTGGTGATGGAGGTGGTGGTGGTGGTGATGGAGGTGGTGGTGGTGGTGGTGGAGGTGGTGGTGGTGGTGGAGGTGGTGGTGGTGATGGTGGTCGTGGTGGTGGTGGTGGTGGTTGTGATGGTGGTGGTGGTGCCCCACCACCATCCTCCACACCACCGCACCATGATACCATCCACTCCATTGACCACACCACCTCCCATGACCACCACAACTCATCACACCACACACCCCTCCCCTGCATCACACCACCACCCTCGATGACCACCATCACCTCCATCACCACATCCCACCACCAGCTCCATCACCATCGCACCACCACCTCCCATCACTACCCACCATCCCACCACAACGATCACGCACCACCCTCCATCGTCCACCCACACATCAGCAACACACACCACACCGACACATCAGCCACACCACCACCTCCACCTCCTCACACACTACAGACCACCACGGCCCCACCTCCATCACCATCACCCTCATCACCACCACCAACACCCTCATCAACCCACCACCCACCTCCATCACCACGACCACCACCTCCATCACACACACCATCCATCATGCACACACACCTCTCTATCACACACACTGCATCCACCACCACCCACGACCACCACCTCCATCACCACGCACCACAACCATACCACAACCACTCCATCACCACCACTCACCACCACCACCACGCACGACCACCCCAGCCTCCATCACCCCCCTCCATTAACATCCACCACCACCACAACG